TTTGAGAGAGGCGGGGCATAGAGGACCTACAGTAATGTACAGTATTTGAAAAATAATGTGTTTTTTGAACATTAAAGCGTGTCAACATATTCTGTTACACCAAATACACAAAATAATTATCTTTAAAATAGCATCATATGACCCCTTTAAATTGACTTCTTTTTGTTTTATTATAAAACAAAAATTGTTTTTGCGGAAGTCTCGTACTTCCGCGGGTGCCACCGGAAGTCTCCGTTACTATTTACTAAAAGTTGGTTGCTAAGGACGCGCTTTGTGCTGTGAAACGCTGGAGATGCGCTCGAATAAACCGCACGACGCTCGCACTAAAGCGCCGCCTGCGCGATTCCTGCCGCCTGCGGTGAGAGTCTGACTGCGCTTTACCATAGTATTACCAGCTCTGGAGCATCTAGTGTTTGAGTCTCTCTCTCTGTCGCAGGGTCACAGCTATCAGCAGCATCTGGCAGCAGTGCGGGCTTTACTGCCCGACAGACGGAGCAAACCCATCCTCAACGCGTCGGAGGTGCATAGCATTCCCACACATGACATGAAGTCAGAACATATATGCCATCTAGTACAAATTGGAATAATTGCATGCATTAGCACATCTAGCACATACAAATATGCATCTTTATGCACATTTTTGCACATATAGGTCATGCACAGGTATATCCCGTCAATAAACAGTAATATTATTTAAGGAAATGTATTTAAAATATTTATTGCAAAAGCACATGTAAACATACAGATTTTTGCATATGTTGTTTTAATAAAGTTGCATACATAAATAAAATATGCACACACACTGCTGGTCAAAAGTTTGGGATCAGAAAGATTTTTAAAGTTTTTTAGTGAAGTCTGCTCACCACGGCTGCATTTATTTGATCAGAAATACAGTAAAAATGTGAAATATTATTAGAATTTAAAACAGCTGTTTTCTATGTGAATATCTGTTAAACTGTAATTTATTTCTGTGATGCGCAGCTGTATTTTCAGCATCATTACTCCAGTCTTCAGTGTCACATGATCTTCAGAAATCATTCTAATATGCTGATTTGCTGCTCAAGAAACATTTCTGATTATTATCAATGTTGAAAACAGTTGTGCTGCACAATATTTTTGTGGAAACTGTGATACATTTTATTTTTCAGGATTCACAGATGAATAGAATCTTTATTAATTTCTTTAAAAAAATAAAAAACTTTTGAACGGTAGTGTATTAAATCAGATCTATATATATATATATATATAATCAGTGTTTGATATACAATAGTTTTCAGTAAGTCAGATGAGCAGTTTTTTAACTTTAACACTGTGACTTTGTTGTTTTGTCAGCTTGATCTGAAGTTATCAAATGACCTGCAGAAAGCACTGAGTGTGGACTCATTGAAACCAAACCCGTCCAAAACCGGTACAGAACACTCTGCTGTCTGCTAATATACAATCTGAAAATACTGATCTGTCTGAATGGAGATCACCTGCATTCATTATGTGGCAGTGATTGTTTCGAGTGCTTTATCTTTATGCATCTTTTGTCATTTATGCATATATAAACAGCTGTGATCTGCTTTCATCTGTGTGTGTGTGTGTGTGTGAGAGAGATTGTGTGTGTGTGTGTGTGTGTGTGTGTGTGTGTGTGTGTGTGTGTGTGTGTGTGTGTGTGAGTGTGTGTGTGTGTGTGTGTGTGTGTGTGTGTGTGTGTGTGTGTGTGTGTGTGTGTGTGTGTGTGTGTGTGTGTGTGTGTGTGTGTGTGTGTGTGTGTGTGTGTGTGTGTGTGTGTGTGTGTGTGTGTGTGTGTGTGTGTGTGTGTGTGTGTGTGTGTGTGTGTGTGTGTGTGTGTGTGTGTGTGTGTGTGTGTGTGTGTGTGAGAGAGCAGGGAAGCTTCTGGAAAAGCTATGTGCCGAGAGAAATGAATGTTCACTTGAGCTCTGCCGGAGGAATAATAATCACAGCGCTATTGATCCCTGGATAACAGTCAGACCTGATAAGATGAGATGAGAGAGAGAGAGAGAGAGAGAGAAAGAGAAATGAAGACCAGTAGATGAGTTTGTGTCGAGGTACATTAAAGAGCTTGAGAGGGGAATCCTTCCT